GGCGGCCAGGCCTGTGGGGCCAGCCCGGCCTCCGGGGGTCCCAGGGGCCGCCTCTGTTCGGAAGAGCATGTCGATGGGGCTGCAGGACTGGTCGTCCTCTACGTCTTGTGTCACTGTCGGTCTGGAGAAGGTCCCCACTTCTTGTCCAGTCAGGTCTGTCTGAGTCTTGTGTCTGGGTGGCGTACTTCTCGGATGGTAACCCTAGCATGGAGACGGGGTACACGCGGTGACAGCCTCTGAAGACCCGTGGTCTCACCTGGTCGTGGGATGAGAGGGCTGCCCCCCCCACCCCCTCACTCCTTTCCCTCCGAGCCTCCCCCTTTCCGGACACGTTCGTTTTCCTTGTCCAGCAAAGCAAACGCATGGCACGGGGGCCTGATGGGTAGTCCGTCCCGGTGGGCCGTCTGTCTGTCAGCGCTCTAAAGGCCATCTCCGCTTCCGCCCCTCCGAAGCCCCGGGCGGGCGGGCGGGTGCGATCGCAGGGAGCTCACCCTGGGACGGTGCCGTGGCGGGCACCCCGTGGCCGGGCGGTCAGTGGCTGTCGAGGGAATTAACCGAACGGTCGCCGCTTTCCTTCTGCAACGGTGTGAATTCTGCCAGACGCGCCAAGGCGGCGGAGAGAATTTATTCAACAGCATCCTCCCGCCGCCGCCCCTCACCTAATCCCCCGCGGTACCCGGGGAGGGCACCGACCTCTGGCGGTCACGTGGGCCGTGTCCTTTGGAATCCTCGCCGCGGTTCCTGCCGCGAGAAGAAAATAAGCTCCCTGGAAGCTTTCTACCAAAAAATGAGATCTGGCATAAATAGACCCTATTTGTGGTTGTTATCCAAGCAAGAGAGGTTAGCTATTCAAGTCCCAGATGGATCTCATTATAAGATGGATGCGAGCTGTCAGTGGTTCCAAGAACCCATGGCATCAGCCCCGGTGCGTATGTGACGCTTTTATCGAGCGGCCCCCTCTTTTCTCCAGCTCTCACACCTCACGCCGGCATTGGGACGCCCCAGCGCCGGGCAGTGCACGCTCTGAGCAGGGGTGACCAGCACCGGAACGGGCAGGCCAGGTGGGTCCTCGGCTCAAGTGACCCCCTGGCACCCAGAGGACCCCAGAAGGGTCCCCGTTGGTTTCCTGGACCGTGGCTAGCGCAGGGGCAAAGCAGAAAAAATCCCTTTTCATGTCAGCCGGCCCTGTCAGAATTCCCCGACATCGGCCCGTACTGTTCCACCCTGATACAATTTCCTCTCTCCTCTCCCCTTAAAGATCTGGCGCGTTTAACGTCTTCAAGGGGCCTGCCTTTGACCGTCAGTTCTCGCCGAGCTATTATTGTAGACAAATGAGGTTTGATTTGTAGTCAGATTTGTACTGCTGCTAGGGCATACAGAAGCCTTTTTTTTTTTTTTTTTTAAATGTCTTAATGTGAACTTGTTTTCAAAGCGGGCTGCCAGTCCATCAAGAATTCTGATGAGTCCGGGGTTCATGCGCGCATGGACTTGGCTTTTAATACAAATGGAGTGAGTTATCCCAGCCTCACCGGATTCGGTAGTGGTAGTGGTTTTGCTGCCTGTGACATTGGATGTACTTTTCATGGTTTAGACTCCGGCGGTCCCCGGGGCCAGGACTGACGGCCAGGCAGCTGTCCGTGGGGGGGGGAGGGTGGCTCCGGGGGGTGCCCAGTGGGGAAAAAAAGTGCCCACTGTGGGCTGGGCTGCAGGGAGCCGCGCCCGAGAGAGGAACGCCGCACGCAGGCTTTGGGGGTGGGGGTGCCCGGAAGGTGCAGGGCACAGCTCCCTCCACGAAGTCTGGGATGAGAGCGGCAGAGGCTCCACTGTCCTGAAATGTCATCCGTCTCGGTTCCCGCCAGCCTGCGTTGGTCTTCGTTGCGTTTTTAATGTTTTTTTGATCATCGATTTCTACCAGGAGGGAATGGCGCTGCCGGCCGAGACCCAGGCGTGTTCCTCCTCTTCGCTCTCAGGGTTGCTCTCGGTGTGGGTCCTGACTCAGGGGCACCCTCGGGGGCTGGGTAACACGAGCTAATCCCCAGGGTCTCCCCGGGGGTGACCCTGTTCCCTTGGGAATGCTGAGGGGCAGTCGGGTGTGGTTTACCGAGGCGACCACTGCTCTGCCTCTTACTGTCTCTGTAATTCCGACTCTCCCTTAAGGCTCAGTGTCCTCGCCTACAAAGAGTAAATAAAACGGCCCGGCCGGTGTGGCTCAGTGGTTGAGCCACTGACCTCTGCACCAGGAGGTCACGGTTTGATTTCCCAGTCAGCACACATGCCTGGGTTGTGGGCTCGGTCCCCAGTGGGGGGCTGGGGGCGGGGAGGAGTGTGCAGGAGGCAGCCAATCAATAATTCTCATCATTGATGTTTCTATCTCTCTCCCTCTCCTTCCTCTCTTTAAAAAAAAAAAAAGGATTTAAAATTAAGAAGAAAAAAAAGAGTAAATCCAGTGGCCCTTACCAAGGATTATGGCTGGGGTTAAATGGGGTCACGCACAGGAAGCACTCCGTTCACCGTGAGAGCTCAGCGAGGGCTTAACAATATGTAAAGAAGCAGACCTGCTCTCGAGCCCGTGGGGAGGGCCTCGCCGCCTTTACATACACGACTGCGACTCTCTCGTCCACCAGTCGTATTCATTTCCATGTGTTTGGGGTCAAAACCTCTTAAAAGCCGGAATTCGCTTCCCCGGCCGCTCTCCGTGTTGGGTTGGCAAGGGTGTATTTCCCCCTCCCACTAACTCCCAAACGCATTTCCATCTGGTCCCCAGTTGATAGTCAATGCAGCTGGTTTGGCATTTGCACCGGAAGCAGTGGCCCCGGGGATCAAGCCTAAGCATCCCTTGGGCTGGGAACCTCGATGCGTTGTTGGGGGGCGGTTGATAGCGACACGAATGCCTGGCATCTGAGTCTTTGGGGTGAGGCGGTGAGGTCCGCAGTGAGGCTGGGGTGAGGGGGACACGGGTGTCACAGGCTTGAGCTTCTTGCCTTCAGAGCCCCGTGCTGAGGAGGGGGGCGGTGGCCAGCGTGCCAGCCGAGCAGCACACCGTGGAGGTGAAGATGCAGCCCCGGAGCGCGCACACTGCAGGGTCCTGCTTCCGTCCCCTCACAGCGGACCCGTCTCCCGCCCCAGTCCGGAGCTGGCCCGCACGCCCGCAGGCTCATCATCGCTGTGGTGCCCGTGGTCTCCGAGGGACACAGGATTTCAAAGGAAACCGACAGATGAGAAATCACGGGGGTGGGGACGGGGACGGGCGCAGCGCTTAGAAAGCCCATTTTATCAGTCAGTGGCTTGCGCCACGAAGGTCCAGCTGTGGTTCCCGCCGGCGGAGAAACGACAGTGAGGAGCCTTGACATTTCTCCGAAGCTCTGGCCTCCCCTGGGTCAGGAAGACATAAAAGTCTCCAACGTCCTCTTCAATTTGCACGGACTTCCCTCGGAGATGCAGAGCTGGCGGAGCGGAGAACACTTAACACACCCGGGGAAGTGATAAATCACGGGGCGAGGGCCGGCGCGCGTGAAAGGCGACTCCCGCAATTAAAGCCAGCGGCCAGCGCTCCCCGGTGAC